ATTTCCTTATTGTTTGACGAAAACCTCCTTGTATTAACCCATGGACAACTATAAACTAAAGTTAATCTTTTTCCATGACATTTACATTCTATTTCTTTTTTTATAATATCTCAATAATGGCCCATCTCATTGAATCATCCTGTCCTCTAGCAATCTAGAATCTAGTCTATAAAACAAAATGTCGACCAGTCACGTTTACGACTGCAACTTTTATTTGACCGGCTCTTATGTCTGAACTAATTGTCGCAATTAAATATATTTATAATTCTAAGTAAAAAATCATGATTATGCATGAATTTTCTTTTAACTTGTTTTTAATTTTCAAATTATTGATTAATTATATCATACAACATATGAACGTAATTTTTTTGCGGTTTTATAGATAACACAACAAAATTCGCGAGTCCGACTCGGACACGTTTTGTTTCATTTATTTTTCTAAAAATATATTAAACAAGCATTGCGAATGAAAGTTCCCTAAAAAAATTATTAAGTTTATCAGTAAAATTCGATATCATGTACCGTCACAAGTAGTTCATTGCATCAATGTATAAACCTCTCATATGTTTCTTATACATTGATTTATTGTACGTATTTAAGAACAATACTTGCTAAAATAAAATAGAAAAATAAACAAAGGACGTATCGTAATCACGAAACAAAGTGTCTCTGTACAAAAGGATCGTATAAGGAATTATTTATACTGGTCATAAAAATGAGCTTTGCCTCCATAAAATTATATGATCAATGGATCAACGCCACCTGCCGTCAGCGGTACGCAACTATGCACGACAACAGTTTCTAATTGCAGTACCAATTAATTTCGTTTGTAACCTTATTGCTAAGGATGTAGAGAATAAATTTGTGTGCGATTGTAAGCCTTTAAGTGTGTCGGTGTCGCTTTAGATGGAGGAGTGAGTGATATATGGTGTCGTTGTTAGTTTATGCGGTTCCCACTCGTTGGCCAGTATCGAAGAGAAGAGATATACTACGTAACATTTCGATGTACTGTTGTGACCTAACTCACAACTATCTCTAGAATATTGTCGGTGTTAGAGCAGGACAATGCTAGTCTAGACTGGGCTTATAAGCCTCCCCCAATAGGAATTGGACTTTTTTAGTTTAGAAATATTTTTATCAGGTAGGTAACTAGCTGTTTTATCGTGACTTCGTCCGCTTCAATTATAGCCTACGGTACATTCCTGTAGGTCAAAGATTTTTATTTAAATTGGTCCATTAATTTCAGAGTCTACTCAATGCAAACAAACATTTTTATCTTTTTAATATTCTTACATAAGTATTAATCATGTTATTTAAAATAACAAATTGATAGCGATGTCAAATATCATAAAACCATCAAAAAGGAATTTGGATGAAACTCAGTAAAGTAGTCAATATCTTAAAAGGTCCGTCACAAATTTTAATAAGTTTTGTACAGTCAACAGCAAATCAGGCTATACGAAACTGATTTGACGTTTGATTTTAAAGCTTAATATATTATTAGTAGAATTCAAAACCAATTGAGGAAATTTAACATACTGTGTGCGTAAAAAAATTGTAATGGAAAGAGAGAATTGCATCCTATATTTATATGCAAGAGTATTGAATGGGTCAAAATATAGATTTATAAAATTTACTCTATTTAAATGAAAATTTACCTCTTACATTCATAATTTGTTCGTTCCTTTTCTTAATTATACTCTTTTATTTTAGGAAAAATTATAAAAATTAAAGCCATTTTGTAGTCGAGGGTTATGATTAAGAACTTTTTAATGGTTTGCAAATAATTAAAAAAAAAGGCCTGGTCGTTGACCCGCAATCAACTTCTGCCCCTATCTATTTCATTGATGGGGGCGAAACTATAGTTTAATTTTCTCTTTTGTCTTTTGCTGCAGCTTTAAATAAAGAGAGTCAGTATTTAATGTATTTTTTTGGTAACTCATTCTGATGCAATTTAATATCGCTGAACTTAGCAAAATACTTCAGATACCTCCTATTCTAAATGAGATAACACTCCAAAGGTTCTCAGCAATACGTCTCTACAAAATGGACTTCATTTTATTTACATTACGAATATATAAATAATTGAATAGGTACGTATTGAGAGTGTGGACGATGCGTTAATTACCCACACTGTGTGCAAAATGTGGGTAATTATTGAGTTTTTATATCTAGCAACACTAGAATGCTCATATATGGACTTGAAGACCCTTGCGTTTAATTTTAGTGCGAACGAAGAAAAACCAGCCACTTGCACTCGGGCCCGCATGACAATTGGTTAATTTTCATAATTGTAATGATTCAAACGGATAATTATGCAATAGTTATAGGAGGAAGTGGCATTAGTAATTATTTCTAACAAATTGTAGTTATTTTATAGTTATTGCCAGAAGTAGGTACGAAAGTATTGTCAAAACATTAAACAGGAGGTGTATTTCAAAGAATGCTTAATATCAAACTGTATAGGATATAATTTTCAATGCTCGGTTAACTTAAAAAACCCTCCATTGTATATTTACTTTATAGTGATAAAATAAAACCAAATGTCATAAATCAGGATATACCTATATATTTTTATAGTAAAATGAATAAATTAACGGAATCAGTATCTAGTATCGACGTCAGGGATAAGTAATATATACCATTTTTTATGAAACAAACTGGCTGAAAAAGAGATTCTAAAAAGGAATCCATATTACTAGCTTGTTACCGGTCTATCTCAATTCGAAATCGATGGTCCCACCTTGAGTAACTGGCCCGAGGCGCCAGCCGTCATCACCAGAGGTGTCCGTATCCTAATTATACGAAAGAAAAACACCTCACAACACCAAATATTTGTTCACCATACTTAATAAACAAATTTGCACTTTATCAACAAAACAATAAAGTCTATTTCAAACACAACAACGACAAAATCGTTATACAGTTTCGAAAAAAAAATGGTTCGAGAGAATTGGCGTAAAAAAGGTCTTAATTACAATATGATTACGGGTTTGTTCCTGACAAAACTAACAAGCGTTTGTGTTTAATTAAGGTAATAAATAGTTATATTGTCGTTAGGCAGCTGGCGTCTGTGATGTTAATAGAATGTCTGTCTGTTTGTTTTTGTTCATCTTTTGACATGTGCTTTTGATATTGATGAATTGGACTGTTCTTGAAATATTATAGCTTTTATAATGCTGCCGTTTGAATGTATGATGCATTATAACCGTTTGCGCTATTATGTAAAACGGTACACTACGTATAACGCAATCATAAAAATAAAGACTATTTCTACGTTTGTATTATGCATAATTGTTATTGTTATTGGTCGAAATTACACCGTGAGTATATTAGAGGGTTAAGATTGGCATTAAGCGATAACATTTTTTGAATCTTCAATTTCTCCCCGAATACATCTTGTGGGATAGATGTTACGTTAATGCTAACTCTATTTCAGTACACATAGTGATCAATCACGTTGCCAATCAATTACTGGATCCCTATGGCTCACCCTTCAAACAACCCGATATACTCCCAAGAGATGGCAATACAGTAGGCAGCAGGGAAAATCGTGAGACATTTTTATTTTTATCGGTTTATGAAGCTTTCTATATACGTTGTCAAAGGAGGCGAGTTGTAATGCTTTTTCTAAGTGGAGCGTCACGTCTTATTAGTTTTTATTGTCAAGAGATGGCGCTAGTTACAAATTTGAAATAATCGTTTTTATTAAGACAAATAATATGTCCATATTCTTAATGAAAATTGCTTAAAAATCCACTTTGTGTCTGGCACACTGAGATGGGATTTGAACCTTTCGCAATCCGGGCTACTGTGCTAACCACTCAGCTACCCAGGACCTAACAGGACTGACGAATTTTTCAAGCACTTGGTACTTTTTCGCTACTAGAGAGGGTATTTTCATTAATGTTCAGGCAATCCATTAACAAATATTTTTAACTTTTGATAATGATGACAAATCTTTATACTTGAAAAATTCGTAAGTCCTGTTAGGTTAGTCCTATTTACTAAATATATTTACTATTTCTTTTTCTTAAATTGTTTTGCGCTTACATCCGTAACGTTATTAATGTATAATAATATATGAATTTTGTTTATTTTCGTTATTGACTTCAAGATTAAGTAAGTATTTTTGGACAAATAATAGTGATTTAAAAATTTTCACAAAACCCATTTAGAATAAAAAAGAAAATTTTAAAATAGATTTATCTTGAATCGAAACCAAAAAAATTGAATTTCGAATATCGCCAGAAGACGGAATTCATATTTGAAAAAAATTACTGTTCTAAATGAACAAACATCATTATCAAACAAAATAGAAAATTACATGCACGAATAACTATTCGCTTACAACGGCAGTGAGCAATAAAAAAAGGTTATAATAGGTTAGGTTTGTCTATAAATAATAGAATCATTAACATCTGCCTCTATGATTCCGATCATCAATTTTTTTTGTCCCGAAAAAAGCTTGAGCGATGCTTGCTCGAGGCTTTGGAACGTTTTAGGGCGTCGCCGGAAAAGACGTGTTGTGACGGTTATGTTGTTTCTATTATTTTTTAATTTTCCTATCAGAGGGTGTGTAGGCATTATAGGTGATGAAAAAATTCAAATTTCGATTATAGTTTTTTTTTTTACTGTAAACCGGTTGATTTTATTTAAAATGGATATCTACGAAAACAGATTGTCAAAAGTGGTTATAATCTATGGACGAAGGTCGAATGTTCTTTGATCCAATATAAAATTTAAAGAGATCAAATTATTCGTAACTAGTTTGCAATAGAAGAATATGAAGTATGTATTTATTTTTTAAGTAAGGTAGGTTTTTTCCGACTGCAGTTATTATGATTGACAAAATATTAATTAAAGTTCCTAATTTAATGGTAATAATAATATTAGTAACGAAACTCTTTCAAAATAGCTGTTAAGACCGTACCTTGGACCCAGAACGTTATAATGAAATAAAAAAATAAAAATAAAAAAAAAACAAAATGTTTACTAACCAAATGATCTGAGTGGGGATCTCTGGGCGCACTAGGGGCAGGGTTGGGCCACAGCAACTTTGACAACATCCGTTGGCTTTGGCTATAGATGAGCTCCTACGAAGGAGAAAAACGAACTTTAGTACGTTAAGAATTAGGCTGACCATGCCTAGGAAAAACTTGTGTTAAACCTATTTTCATACTACGAAAAATCCTGGAGAGGTTTAACTTATTTCTAGTTGCTTTAAAAAGAAAAATTTGCTATGAAAAGAGTTCTCAATCAGTTTTTATTTTTTATTAGAATTACTCCGCATTGTACAATACATAGCAGTTTGTTTTTTTATTAAACTTGCATGCTCACTCTGACATATCAAACTGACACTTCTATGGAAAACTAAAATAATAATAATAAGCGTAAATAAATATACAAGAGTTCCAATCAGATAAAAACCCCTAAGACAAAGTAACATTAATAAAGATTTTTTTTATTATAGGTGCCAATAAGATTTTTTTTATTAACAAATTAAAGGTGAGCTTATTTCTTAGAAGTGGAAGCCTGTAGCAATACGTCTGGTATTCAAGAGTGTTGGGTGGTGAATGAAAGTATCGATAATAACAATACGTTTTAGGAGCGCCTTGGGCGAGTCTGACCATTGATCAGAGATGGTAAACATTTCTATGTATTTTTATTAGAATTAATATTTTGAATCCCATTTTTTACAGAAGGTTGCGTTAGTTTCAAAATTATACTAAAAAGTTTTCTACTGACGGTTCCAGAAGAATCTTTCTAATTTTTTATTTTGTCATGTCTCTTGAATAAACAATGATAGCATTGAAATACTGAGACAAAAGTTAAGATAAAGATATGCAGATGACATATTAAGTACCACGGGTGAAAAGCACTTCACACTTTTGGTGCTGGATCAGCAAAAAAAAAAAACTGTGTTCGTAATGGATGGTCTCAATAGACTCTCAGTATTGAGGATAATGTCCTCAATAGATCTCAAAAAGGACGAAGAGAAGAATAAAAATTAAGAATAAGCCTATGACCCCAACGTTGAGTACCACTGGAAACCAAAAAAATTAACGATGGCTTAATAATAGGTTTAGTGTTGTTCCGTTTTACAAAACAAACAGCTGATTGTATGCACGTAAGTAAGATTGAGGTTGTCAAAAATAACTTCATATTAAATTTGTAAAAGCCTATTATCTTTAAACGTACTTAAGTGATTGAATCTCTTACATCCGTAACGATATAAAAGTGCTTTAACCGTATATTAGAAATGTCTTAAACATAATATACGTTTCTTTTAATAATCACTGTTGAAGCAAAAATAAAAATAATAGATAACTACTTTTTATATTAGATATTTGTCATTTATTCCCAAATTGCATCAAATCCTTATTTAAAAAAAAAACAATCTCTAGAATGAACAAATTCAAAAAAGGAATGAGTAAATGTTTAAAACGACAAAACTAAAGTCGAACCTTCGTGGTACGATACTCCGCTAAAAGTATAACAAGAACGTAATAATAGGTTGCGCGGAGTTCTCGCCTGCAAAACAAACATTCGACAGAGTAGTCTGACGCAGAGTGCGCTAAATTACTTTAATAAAACCTTCCTCGCCAGTAACACTTTGATTTATCGCCTTTACCCTTTTGTTTAAGGTCGTTATTTCTGTAAAAACATAAGTTTTAAGCGGTCATGTTATTAATGAAAGTAAAGTTGATTTACAGCGATCTTCTGTTGTCAATTATGTTCACATCTTTAACGGGCTATCTGTCATTTTCTTGAATGTGTTTTTTCGTTTATTATTTTTTTTAAATTATCTCTGATTTGTACAAAAAATATACTAGAACTTGCTGTAAAGTTTTGATGATAATTTGGTTTAGTTAATAAGAATATGATAGTATTATTACTAATAAGTAGTTAGTTTAAAATAATGTCTCTACATTTTTTGTTATTATTACTCTGTGAATCGGGAAGTGGGCAGTTTTATAACCAAGTGTAAAATTATAATGTATGATCGATATTTATCTTATATTGTTGTCAGAATAATCACTCGTGCGTTCATATCGCAGTTTCGTTTTTATTAGTGAATGAGTTTGACTTATATTATCGTCAAGTTTGGTAATGACACTTCTAATTTACGTTATGGTTAACTCGATTTATTGATTTGATAAAAGTATTTTTTGTACAAATCTTAAAGACTAGTATTGTGTTCGTTTATATTATTGCAATTTTTATGGTGAGTTTGGCAAAATTAGTGTTCATTTACGAAACAGGTAAACGCGTCTCCTTTTTTTCTGTTGACTTTTCTAACTCCTGCGTGTCCCATTGCTTCAAAGAAGTAAATACATTCTACATAAATATTTTATGCGAAAACCACAGAAAAATATTACTGATGATTAGGATCTATGGGCTTGATCCCTTTGCTTTGTATTACGCAAGAACGATTGATATAAAATTTAAAGTGAACCTGTTGGACCTCGGACTTTTTTTGGCGGGAAGTCAAATTAGGCGGGTGTTTTAAATTTGTCTCCCAAAAGGTTTTTTAAATTCCATCTAAATTTTCCTATTAAAATGAAGACCAAAAGAAAAAAAAGAAAGGCGGAAGCAGAGTCTGGTGATAGCGACGAGGGACATTCTGATTCCTCGTTGGAAAATAATAAATACTTAATTTTCAAAGTCGAAAACTATTCACGGCAGTATCCCGAGGAAGGCGGTAACTTTGAATATATAGTATTATACGAAAGTGTTGACTCAGGCAAGCCCATAGGTGATAGAGATCTTATGTCACTTGGGACTGCTTTAAAACGACAATGTAAAGGAATAAAAAGATTCCAAAGAATAAACAAATACAAGATAGGTGCAATATTTGAACGACCGGGACTAGCTAACTTAGCGCTAAATAATCTAAAAATTCAAAAAGACTTGCAAGTGAGAGCCTCTATCCCAGCTGCTCTTACCGAATCTACTGGTATAATAAGAAATGTACCTACTTATATGTCCAATGAAACCATTTATTCAGGTTTGACCAGCTCCAAGGATGTAGTTTCAGTGCGCAGATTTATGCGGCGTGGAAAGGACGACGATGGAAAACCAACGCTATTTCCAACACAAACGGTAGCTATCACATTTGCTTGTCCAATATTGCCAACGCATGTTGATATAAATTCATGGTTCTTTGATGTAACTCAGTATGTTAGGCCAGTATCACAATGCCTTAAATGCCTCAGATACGGTCATATAGCAAAATATTGCAAAAATTCTCAGAGATGTTCAATCTGTGGTGAAGGCCATTCTTATAGAGATTGCAATAAAGACAGTAACGAAGCCACTTGTGTAAATTGCAGCGGCAAACACATAGCAATTTCTGCCCAATGCCCCATCAAAAAGAAGAAAATACAAGAAAACCAAATAAAACAAAAAACTGTACCATTTGTTAATTTATTTGACAATAATGCTTTCCCTATTTTGAATAGTAAAGGACATAAAACTAGTATCTCTAATTCAGAAAATATTTCCGGATATTTAGAATCTGATGAATGTTTAAATATCCTTATATCAACAATTGTCAAAGTCATACATGAAAATAAATTAAATGAAACTCCTATAAATTCTGAAAGTATTAAAACCATTCTTCTGACAAATATGAAAGAAAATAAATTAACATTAAACAAACAATCACTTACATAGGAATTCCCTTACCTATTTATTTTTTATGGATCACACGTCTATAAGAATAGTACAATGGAATGCTCAGAGTTTGCTTAATCATAAACATATTTTTTCACAGTACCTTTATGAAAATGAAATACATATTGCTCTTATATCTGAAACTTGGTTACAGAGTACGAAATCTTTTAATATAAAAGGTTATAAAATTGAAAGATTAGACATTGGTTCAAAACATAATGGTGTTGCTATCTTAATTAAAAATTACTTAAATTATCAAAGAATACAAACATATTATGATAGCTCCTTACAAAATATTGCTATCACATTACAAATCAATAATGAATCCCTATCTATAATTAGTTTCTATAGCCCTTCTTCTGCTACCCCTTCAAATTTTAATTACGTATATTTGGACAATCTAGTGAAATCTGTACCAAATCCTTTAATATTAGCTGGTGACTTTAATGCACATCACACTATGTGGGGTTGTACATCAACTGACACTCGTGGTTCTACTCTGTTGGATGTTATAAATGATAACAATCTATGTCTTTTAAATGATGGATCAGTAACAACAGTTGGTTCCCACAACTGGCGACCAAATGCTTTAGATTTGACAATAGTTTCTCCCACTTTAGCTTTAAGATGTAACTGGCAGGTGCACGATGACCCCTTATGTAGTTACCATCTCCCAGTCCTTACTAGTCTATTACTGAATCCTGTAAATAATAATAATAACAATTGTGGTGTAAATTATTTTAGACCAAATTATAGAACAGTAGATTGGAAAAAATATACTAAATTGGCAGATATAAAACTAAGTGCATGTGCTTTTGATAAAAACAATCCAGATGTGTGTTATGAGATGCTAATTAATAATTTACTACAATGTGTATCTGATGCAAATCTTTCAACTAAAAAATCATTTCAAAATATACAATACAAAAATAAAAAGAAATTAAATCTGCCCTGGTGGAATGATATTTGCAAAAAGGCTGTGGATAGTTGTAAAAATGTTTATATACAATTTAAACTAAACCCTACTGAACAAAATTACATTTTATTTAAAAGTAAGCAAGCACAAAAGAAACTTATTATTAAACAAGAAAGACAAAAGGCATGGTCGGATCTTTGTAATACTTTTAGTCGTCATACTCCTTTGTCAACTATTTGGACTAACCTTAGAAAATTTAATAAAACCTACATTCCTTCATCCAGTGGCATGAACAACAACAACTGGATACAGGCATTCTTAGATAAATACACATCTAATACTAATAGTCAAACTTTAAGTGACAGTATTTGTAATCACATATCAAATGTTGACAATTTTTTTATGAAATCATTTACACTTAATGAACTGTTAAGTGCCATTCATTCTCGAAAGGATACAGCTTTTGGTCTAGATAATATCTCATATAAAATGTTTAAAAAT